ACTGATACGCCCTGTTGAAATGAATCCGATTTCTGTGTCGGATGTGGTTTCGAAATTATTTCTATCAAACGCTGGATAAATATAGGACTCACATATTGCAATACTAATCGATATCTTAAAGGGATAGTTGAGTTCTGTTGCAGAGGGCGCTACACAAAATACATTTTGTTGTGAGATAATGACAAACTGAGTGTCAAATTTAAAAGACCATACAATGTAAATGACAAAATCATCTTTGTTTGGTCAAAATCGGTTCAGAGACGGCTGAAATATCTATAAATATAACGCTTTCTAATACTTGTGTACCACCACAAATATGAAATAATTTGAAAAAACCATTGAAAAAAATGAAATAGCGCCTTTTACGTCGTAATTCAGCCAATGTCGATGTTGGCTTTTTGTTGGCATTTTCGTGTTGGTTATATTACGCACAGCCAGTCGGCCCATGTTTTGTTATTTTTAATTAAATAATTAATTAACAGTCACCGTATTTTTTGAAAGTGGAGCTGAATTGGTATGATCGTATTGGCTAAATTGCACACAATTTGGGTTCTAAAATTACCTTCATAGCAATTTTAGGTTCTAAAAGGGCACTAGAAATGTCATAGATAAGAGTAAGAGCAATAACCACACTGCAAAAACCAGAGTATTAAAATTAACACCAAGGGTGTTCAATTTAACACTTTCTTGGTATCTATATCGGAAAACTCCTCTGGTGTTACTTAACACCATTTTCTGGAATTAGATAATTTCAATTCCACTTTTGGTGTTAATATTTGACAACTCCTACTGGTTTGGATTAACACCAATATCTAGAATCATAACAAATTCAATTCCACTCTTGGTGGTAATATTTGACAACTCCTACTGGTGTAGATTAACAACAATATCTGGAATCATATCAAATTCAATTCCACTTTTGGTGTTTATATTCTTGTTGATCCAATGGTCCTACATTCCATATTTCCTATTATCGACCATTATCTACCAGGGTAGAAGAACCAATTGTAAACTGATAATTCATAATCGATGTTGGCAACTGTCCACTAATAGGTATATTGTAATCTCCATTGCATTAAATCCATCACATAGATCATTTGAAGTAATTTCAAGATTAACATTTAAATGATACAGGCTGGTACACGAATATATAATAAATATGCATGTTGTTTCTTGGTTAGTAATCTTATAATCAATATATCTATTGCTAAAACGTTAATGTAATTGTAACAAGATCGGACAAATAATCTATTGGTCAATAATTGCCAAAGGAAAATACAAATCACAAAATTGATGAAGCATTGTCATAATTTGCTTAACAAATCATGATAAATGTATTCTTCTGTGAACACGTGTAAAGTAATCATTAAGCGCGCGTACACTTTGTGAAAACTTATTCGACTAATCAACCACCTTAAACGAAATCATGTGATGATACTTTCAACACCGAGCATAAAACAACACCATGTTACTTAACACCAAGTGACCAGTGTTAAAATAACACCAATGGTGTCAATAAAATTCAATACCATACTGGTGTTAGAAATTTAACACCCTGGTTTTTGCAGTGCATGCACTTCGAAGGCATTTGCGGTCTGAAAACAGAACTCAACTATCCCTTTAATACTTGTATTCACTATCTGTCAATATCTTTGTGTTCCAATTAGTATGTCTTATCGTTTGTGGAATTTATTTCGTTATTCAAAATGCCCAATGTTGATCCAATAATGTCTAAAAACCTTACTGCCAATGAATTTAAATTATAATTGTTCTGTGTTAAATTCTTTTGATTACTTCACCTAAACTTCTCCCTCTTCTTCCATTTCAAGCTTATCTCGTCTGTCCTTTTCATTTCCCAGTGTTTGTCCCTTCCCGTGTTTATTTTTGAAGTTAAATGTTATTACTACTTTATATGTTACTATGCATATAACTGTACTTTCAATGTTCAATGTATTGTATTCTAATGTGATTAATAATCTTTTGTAAATTCAATTTGCTTCAGCCTTTGGCTGCTATTTTGAATGCATGTTTCAAAAAAGTAATGAACAAAGTTTAATTAATCAATCACTCAATTCTCGCCTCCTTTCTCACTTGTCAATGTTGTGAGGAGGTGGCAGTCCAGAGGGAACACTGTCCTACAGTCCTCAAATTGCAAACATAAGTGAAGTTTTATCCTTATTATTGGTCTTCAAAACTCATGTTCGGTCTTTACGAAACTTTCTTACCCTACACAGCAATATGCAGGCCACGTCTTATCCCACCCAGCCCGGAGTCCCGGGCCAGACTGTCTACGTCCACCAGCCCGCTCCAGTCAGCTATGCCACTCCGGTGCAGAACCCTAACTCATCGAGTGGCGTGTCGCAGAAATTCAACGGAGCTGCCGGGAGAGTGACTGGTTGGCTGCAGCTCTCCCTCGGCATTGGGAGCATCGTCGTCGCCATTGCCGAGTTCGTCCTCGGGACCGGACTATGCTATGTCTCCATTGGAATTTGGGCAAGTGTTCTGGTAAGTCGCCTTTTTTATTTTTTCTTCTTTAAGCTATGGTCACAGATCAGAGCAACGACCGACCGATAAGTAGCCTGCTCGGTCGCTGCTGGAATTAAGGCATCGCCCAGCGATTAGGTTGGTGCCCGAGCGGCGACCGCCCAGGCACCGAGCGTATTTTGGGCGGCGAGTGAAAAGTGAGCAGGCGCCGCCCAAATTTTAACTCCGCGCTAAAACTTCAGCGGCGACCGAGCGATGCCCTAGAATTGGTTAAAAACTCGCCGCTCGGCCGCCGAGTAGGCTACTTTTGGGTAATGTGACTATAGCATAAGAGCATGCAATTGTTTCCATAAGGGATTAACACTTTCGCAAGATTTATTTTTGTTTAAATGATTATTTTCAATTCACAATGTGAATTACTTGCATGAAATTAATGAGGATCTGAGATTACAGTCGATAATTTCACGCACGCGCGCGCCCGCACCCATCGTCGGTATGCACTTGTATTCCGCAGCTGTTTGCCGTGAAACCTGTGAGAAAGTGCATGTTCACAAATGTCTTCGTTCTTAGGAAAAATACTCCCCAAAATATAAGAAAATTGAAACTAAACAGGTAAGAAACGACTTTTAAATCATGACCATGATTTGAAAATTTGTTAAAACTAGACTATATTTCATTTAGCTAATTCCCAAATCAGTATTAAACTGTAACTGGTCTATCTATCTATCTATCAGGCTATTAATTTATCCAGACGTTGGACAAAGCCCTCATCATAACATTTCCATTCTCTTCTGTTTCTAGCTGTCCGTCTGTCTGTCTGTCTAGAGATAAATACGCGGTGCACGCTACAAAAGACTGGCAAATCTTTAAGTGAGAAAAACCATGAGTTGTTTAGCATACATGGAGATATATCAAAATTCAGTTGAATTTTTTAAATTTTGATTTTAATGGCTGTTATTTATTCTCCTCCCCTAGTTCTACATTCCTACCGGAATCTTAGGAATATGTTCGATGCAGAAGAACACTTGTGTGGTATGTATGTTGTTGTTTTCCTTTAGTCTCATTTAGACATAAATATGTATTCATTACCCATAACCCCATTACATATACGCGTTTCTTGTGTAAATTCGAGAGCTCGATTCCTGGTATACAACGAACCTTATGACAATGACAATGACAATGACAATTTATTCTCATGTCACCCACATTGGGGTATTGGAGAAGGTTACAATCAGTTTGAATTTGTCAATTAAACACTGTGAAATATACAGTACAATACAAATAGAATTAATATTAATCGATACAAAATAACACTATCGACAATAGTGAGAAAAATTATGATGATAATGATAACAATATTGATGATGATAATAATAATAATAATCAAAAACAAAACGATAATATTAATTAAAACGCTAATTAATGACGAAATTAATGGAAGCAATTGAAAAAGAGATTTACTGGCACCAGTAAATTGATATCTGAATTAATGAATTACTGAAAATATTCTTGATATCAATTTAATAAATTGATATAAGACAAAAAAAGAGAAACATGAAGTTAGTATTGAACTCTTAACATGTTTTTGCACATACTTAAATTAATGAAAACGAAGCATTATTTTTCGACAGAATTTTACTAAGTTTAAACGTGTATGTACATTATTGGAGTTAAAAAGCTGACCCATTTTTAGTGTATTTGGTCTTTCAATAAAATATTTATCGATGAAAAATTTTCTTTCTGAACGAAAGGTAGGGCATACAAACAAGTAATGAAACTCATGTTCATGAAGCTGTGTTCAATAGAATGTATCTTAGGTAAAATTGTTGTATAATATTACATAACTTTCGTGAGCATGTATCCAGTATTAGTCTGAGTGGATTTTACAATTTTGTACACGTTGAAACGATGCACAGGGGAGAAATATGCTAGTTAACACCGATAGATCCCAATCTATTTCTCAAACTATCTTTCGTGCCAAAACGGTAACAAATAAGGCAAAGGTAATATATAAGGCAAAGTTAAGGTTTGCCGTGGCGACAGCCCAGAAAAACGGCAATGTTTCTTTTGTCTTTGTTTTGGAAAAGAACACTTCAAATACTTGCTTTTTATTATGCAAGGATTACATGTTATAACATTAGTATGAGAATGTGATCCTTGAAAAAAGGAAACGGATAGGAAAAAAGTGATTGGAAATACTTAAATGCCTATGATTACCGGTTGTTGGTGGATGGGATGAGGTTGGCTCTTGAATAGTTGTTGTTTCAAGAGTTTGAGTAGTTGTTCCTGGTGGGGCAGTTGTTGTTTCGAGAGGTTGAGTTGTGGATCCTGGTGGGGCAGTGGTTGTTTCAGGAGGTTGAGTAGTTGATCCCGGCGGAGAAGTTGTTGTTTCAGGAGGTTGAGTAGTTGATCCTGGTGGGGCAGTTGTTGTCTCAGGAGGTTGAGTGGTTGATCCCGGTGGAGCAGTTGTTGTTTCAGGAGGTTGAGTAGTTGACTCATAATCTTGGCATCTGGGGTCAAGATAACCTACGGCACAATACTTCCATCTTATCGGTTGTTGGTGGATGGGATGAGGTTGGCTCTTGAATAGTTGTTGTTTCAAGAGGTTGAGTAGTTGTTCCTGGTGGGGCAGTTGTTGTTTCGAGAGGTTGAGTTGTGGATCCTGGTGGGGCAGTGGTTGTTTCAGGAGGTTGAGTAGTTGATCCCGGCGGAGAAGTTGTTGTTTCAGGAGGTTGAGTAGTTGATCCTGGTGGGGCAGTTGTTGTCTCAGGAGGTTGAGTGGTTGATCCCGGTGGAGCAGTTGTTGTTTCAGGAGGTTGAGTAGTTGACTCATAATCTTGGCATCTGGGGTCAAGATCACCTACGGCACAATACTTCCATCTTATCTCAGGATTGGTGGTGTAACACCAAGCAGTGTCCTCATTATCGGGGTTTCTGCAATAGTTTTTATCTAGTCCCGCGTTAGGGTAGTTAGCTGGAGTCCTAGTGTGTTGATGGGGATCCTGAGAGGTCCACGCTTGACAAGTATGACCGTTGATTGTCTGAGATAAGTTTCCTCTGTATTTCACTCCTGTAGGATCTTCCAGGCATGCAGGTATGGCGGTTGTTGGTGGATGGGATGTGGTTGGCTCTTGAATAGTTGTTGTTTCAAGAGGTTGAGTAGTTGTTCCTGGTGGGGCAGTTGTTGTTTCGAGAGGTTCAAACATACCGCGCACACACATACACACACACACATACACACGCATACGCGCGCATCTGAGCCCAGCGCACCCACGTATTCCAAGGCCAGTTCAAAACTTGTAAATCGATTTTAGCTGAGGAAATGATAGTGTCACCCAACAATAGCCAACTACATTATGTTACAACCATGAAATAATACATCGGTTCCGCTAATATATACTTTATTCATTTGTTTGCAGTTTTTGTTTTCTTCAACAATTTATTTCTAAAACGTTGTTTTCTTAGATCATCGGCTATCTTACGATGAGTATCATCACGGCAAATGTTGCCTTCGCTCAAATAATTGTTGGTGCCATTGGGGCAATAATCACCAGTGAATATCGCTATTACTATGGCTTCCGTAGACGAGGAATAGTGGTACGTATACAGACTGCATGTTGCCCATTAAACCTTACGTCCTTCCATAAAATGATTGTTACAATATGCCTTTATTCTTGATATATAACTTGTTATCTTCTCAGAACATTATTGATCTATCTCTATGATTCTTTAGATGAAATGTTTTATGTCCCTGTTACCCCCATCAGTGTCGATCGATTTTCGTGCTTTTCAGTCCGTATTGTTTTGATTTCGACGATTTTCAAAACTGATAATCTACAAACTGACAACGGTCCGTTTTTACATCATATTCAATCTTTAAGAAAACTGCTGCTTGTAACAGTTTTTTCAACGATATTGCATTACCAGTACGAAGTTTTCTTTTATGAAATCGTGCCAGATCCCGTATTGTTCAAAAATTTAAAATAGTGTTGCTAAAAGTCGATTGATCACTGAAATGTTGATCTATTATATTTTCCCAGTTTGGATATCCCTACGATGGTTAAACACAGATCAAGAAATTTAGCTTTACAAACTTTGCTATGAATTTTCTTCTGATCAGAAATCCCACGCAAAGCGTTGTGTTTGGATATTTTTTGAAAAGCTTTACCCCATAAATATTGGATAGTTAGTTTAGTGATTAATATTTCATAGAAATTATTTTGCCGATAATTTACTGATTGATCTGATCTTTATTCAATTTTTAAAAACAAAGAGGATCTTAAAGTTTTAAAATGACAACAATCTGTTTAAGGGAATACATATTTGTCTGGCTGAACATATTTGTGTAGATTGCAGAACTAATCAATAATTCTAACCAATATTTGGAAACAGTATTATCATTAAATGAATAAATGTTTTTACATAAAAAAAGGTTCGTTTTTTTAACCAGGTTTTTGTTAATCATTTCTTCCATCATCCTTCTCTCCACTTTTCAGTATTATAATCTAAATTAAGTTTTATTATGATTTCCATTGGCTATTGTATTTGTTTCCATATGCATTTATAGACTTTCTTAAATTTCTAGTGCTTCAACTTTTTCTTATTTGATTTTTTATTATGAATAAATGTTTCAATACATGAATGAATAAATATATAAATAAATAATTATTCGTATATGAATATATATACTGAATGGATGAATGAATGAACGGATGAAAGAAAGTATAAATAAATGAAACAATGAAAATATAAGTTAATAAATAGGTAAATGATGAATAAATCAATAAATGTATGGGTAAATAAATAGATAAATTAATAAATAATTAAACTATTCGAATTCGATTAACAGGATGGAGGCATCGCATCTGACTCTCTGTTGGCCATCCTTGGCCTGATCGAGATGGTGGTAGCCATTGTGGCTTCAGCCTACTGCTGTGGTGGCATGGCCTGTTGTCACTCGTCTTCACCAACAACCACCACTATGGCGAGTTATTTTGTTCTATAACCCCTAAATATACAGGGGTGGACAGCGACTCTCTTTTGTGGAGAGTCATGTTATTTTTCATTTCCTTTACAGTGGAAACTCAACCCTCATAATGTTGGAATCCATTGTCACAAGAGAAAAACAACCACTTATATTTGTAGCTGATCTCAGTTTATTTCCATTACATGTGAATTTCAGCTCCTTTGGTTTAACAGAAGCTCCCTATAGGGAGCAAAGGTCGAGATGGCACGGGGGTGTTGCCACCCCTTCTAAATTTATTTAAGGCTGTATGCCAATTGCAAAAAGGCTTTGAATGGCCGGGATTTGTTGTTGTCGTTTTGCTCTGCTTGTCAGTAGATTTCAGGAATTGTTAAACTTTAGTCAACATCATCCCCTTAAAACCCGTTCCGTCTAAAACTTTGCAGAGACGCTCCTTTAAACAGATATTTAACAAGACCCTATTTAAAAAGATAGATCGGTAGATTGATTAAAACAAAAATATCATATGTTTTGTTTCCATTTTTTTAGTATAATAGCAATCAAGTAGTATGACTTCACTGGAACTACGAACCTACGAAGGTCGCGGGTTCGAGCCCCCGCATTGCACAACGGACATTTTATACTGCCAAATGACATCATTTGCAAATTGATATGATTGCCCCTACATGGCACCAATGGCATGTGGCAAGACATGAATATACATTTGCTACTATTAATCAAGCTGAAGTAATGGGTTTCTGATAAATGTATTCATTGCCATGATCACATAATATACGCTACAGCAACAGGATGTGAAGTCAGAATAATGATGTCCAACAGAGTATTAGTTGATCACATGTATTGTTAACTATACAAAAGAAGAACAGGTCTATTGCTATTATCATTGTTTATTTTATTTGGTTTGTATCTTACATTTATTTGTACTTGTTTCAATTTCCTTTGCAGTACACCCACCAGAACATTCCGATGGTTGTGACAACCGGTATGTAAATATCAATTGTTTGTGTTTTTGTTTCAACTTCAATCTATAGTTACTTGGTAACAAACATGGTATTTCCATTAATTAGTTCATATAGAAAGGGAATGGAAGGAAGTATAGAATGTGATACTAGCAATATCAGAGCCTAATTAAATAGTGTTTAAACCATGCGATTTTTGAAGTGGTCCACTAGCTGAAATGATTAATACAATATATTTCAAACACACTGATACATGTATATAGCGATCCACTGAAACTGTTCTGAAAAGAAATTATGGTTATCGGTAGTTATCGGTAGTATTAAGAATCAAAGAACACTTATTATGAATTTAGATATAGAAGAACGTACTAAATAGTTTTGTTTCCAGTTTTCGGTATTTTTTTTTTTTTTTTGGGGGGGGGGTGGGGAAAATGTTTCATTATACCTTTTTATCATTAAATGCTAGATTCTGTGTGAAATGTTAGCAAGTGTAATTCTCTGTCCCATTTGTCATAAAGCTTTGTGGTATTTAGAAAAAACCACATAATAAATACTGAAATGATTAATTCTACTTGATTACTTGTCAGATCTCGACTAATAATTTTGTAAACTGATGACAAACTTTAGGTATACTACAATCTTTGCAATGTGGTCGGTAACGTGTCGGAAACAAAACTGTGAACTTGTCCACATACATGTACAAAAAGTTGGCAATTTTTGCAAGTTTGAGTGATAATATTATAATACTTCACAGTTATGGTTAATATTCTGAATGAATGTGCTTAATTTTTAATGAATACGCTTCATTATCGATAACTTGATTAAACTTCCGTTTACTTTCTTTGAATTTCAATGTTACTCTGCACTATACAATCAGTTTATTAATCGCAATTTATTGATGTAAAAAGGGAAATTATACTACTAATTCCTTAAATTCCCATTGTCTCTACACAGGCCAGTACACTCAGCCGGCGGGAATCGCTCAGCTCCCTCCCGGATACAGCGTTCAGCAGGCGTATTCCCCTGCTGGCCGGCCTTTTGCTCCAGCTCCCTACACCCAAGCTCCTGCTGCCCCGTACAATCAGGCTTCTGGTGCCCCGTACAACCAGGCTTCTGGTGCCCCGTACAACCAGGCTCCTGGTGCCCCGTACAACCAGGCTCCTGCTGCCCCGGACAACCAGGATCCTGCTGACCCGCATTATCAAGCTCTGGGTGCCCCGCCCAATAAACAAAACACTAAAAAGTAACCTCTTTTGGGAGTGTATTTTATTAAGGGATTTTAAAGTATGGTGCATTTTAAAATAGATTAAAACGTTATCGACAGGTGCCTTCATTTAAACAAAAAAGGTACTCCTGTTGACGTTTTCATCTTACCTTAAAACCACCAATTTATCACGCGACTGGAGTAACGTGATTCCACTTACCTCTGTAAATCAAGTGTTTATGACCAAATAACCACTTGACCAAGCAACGAGTTTTTTGTCCGTTAACCGATGGTGGTGATAAATAAGTAATTATTTGGTCTTTTAAGCACGATTGGTTTCACAGGTTATCCAAGGTTGATGGTAATAATCACGTTACTTACACCAGCTAATCGTCTTATTGCTCTGTCCGTGAATCTCTGGTTATATCAAACTAGTAATTCTGAGGTGTCCTACACACCTTTTTAAATGGTTTCAAAAATATCATATCTTTCTTGGTTATGATCACGTGGCTCAAGCTGATTACTACACTGTTAGAAAAAAATTAAACAAGTTGTTTAAAATTTTAAACAACCCCGAGTTAACCGGTGAATCGCTCAACGTTGTTTAAAAATTAAACAAATTAAGGTTGTTTACATTTTGAACACTTAGTTGTTTAAAAATTAGGAAACCTTTTAAACAACAGTTGTTTAGTAATAAAATTGCACAACTCGGTTGTTTAAAGCAAGTTGTTTAAATTTTAAACAATAATGTTTAAATTACTAAGCAACTGTTGTTTATTCAGTATTACTGCACAACTGGGTTGTTTAAAAAGAAGTTGCTTAAATTTTAAACAGAACTGTTTAATGGTTATTATCTGGTTGTTTGAATTTGTGAAATGACCTACTGGAACCACTCCTGCAATAATCACAACGATTTATACACTGCAACATGCAGAGCTTGTTGCCAATTTACTTCAACATTTGTTCATCATATTCATGGCAGTGACAGACAACATTATTATTTGTCTCTATAACTTCACCTAAACCCCATCGGCGAAGCCGAGAAGAACCAAGTCGTCG